CAGAGCATGAGCGGGTGGCAGCAAGTACTCAGGTAAGAAGAGCTGCGTGCAAAGGATTTAGGCTTACTGAGGGTTGGAAGAAGAGGCAGACTTCAGAAGAACGGTGGGTAAGAAGACACATTATAACCACAGATATCCCTCTACTTTTTTGCTTTGCTATACTGGGAAGTCAGTGATTTCTTTTCTCTCTCTCTTTTTTGTTTGTTTGTTTGTTTGTTTGTTAATGATTTCTTTTTGCTCAGTGCTTGCTACACTCTCTTCCTTTACTTTGAACTTTTTTCTGCCCACAGCCACTTGGTCGGATCCGGGCCTTGTACCCTGCTCCACTGGCCCAAATCAGTACCCCAATGTTCTTGCCTTCTGCCCAAGTTTCATATCCTGGAAGATCTTCGCATGTAAGACTCTTTTTCTATTAATACTGGGATATGGAGAAACTGAGGGTGAGGAGGGAGTGGGTTTACTGGTGATGTGAATGAAGAAACCATCATCTTGTCAGCTAGCTTGTATGCACCCTTCCAGGGAATATGCATGTACTTTAGGCAAGAGTCTGTCTTTGGGCTTTTATATCTTTTGAATCATTTTGCTACATGGAAGTAATAGAAGAGTCATGGGCATTAAGAGGCAAGGTGACCCAGAGGTTCTTACTGTGTGACCGTGCCTTTTCTGTGTGCAGGCTCCAGCCACTTGTAAGCTGTGTCTTATGTGCCAGAAACTTGTCCAGCCCAGTGAGCTGCATCCAATGGCTTGTTCTCATGTGTTGCACAAGGAGGTGGGTACTACATATCTTCCTCATTTTATGCTTTTCTTTGATGGCAGAGATAAATTTTCTTGAATATTTTATTGGGTTGATGCTCATCATTAATATCTAACCATACGGTTTTCAGTAAACTGGGGCTTGAACATCAGCAGAATTCAGAATACTGCAGTGAGGATCTCCCCACTTCTTTTTATCCCCTTCCTTTTAAAGAACTGGGTAAGCAGTTCATACTAGAACATTGGAAGTCACTTTCTTAGAAAATTGACAATAAGAGGTAATCCTGTATTTCAAACATTTTTTCAAATGTTGCATTGCCAAGAGACTTTGCTTAGAGGAGAGGAATGGAATAAAGTGCGTGAATGTGAGATTAGTTACTACATTAATGGACTATCCTGATGGACTACGTAGGAGATTATCTCTATTGATTCACAATGGAATTGATTCGCTTAGGTTAGTAGGCAGAGGTAAGTCTCTCAGCAGCAAGGTTGATTCTTTCATAGCTATTTGGTTTTGTTTATTTTGTTTTTCCATGAGGTAGAAACTGAATTGATAACTTTTTTTTTTTATGAAAAAGTCCTGATTAAGATTTAAAGGTGATGAGTGTTAGATGGAAGGAAACTCATTTCAGGTCAAATGGGTCATACAGAACAAGCCACATTTGATAACTCAACAAAGAGGAGCCTCTCGTTACTGTAGCTCATTGTTTCTGGTCCTAGTAAAATCAACAGGTTCACCTGCTCTGAAGATTTCTGTGGATAAGAGCCAGTAAAATAGCCCGTTTGGTCCCCCACAGTGAGAACTTTTCAGGCTTTGTTCTTGAGAACCTTAATGGCATTCTTTCTTTCCTTCCCTTTTTCTTCTCAGATAAACCTGAGGTGTGTCTCTCTTTCTTTCCAGTGTATCAAATTCTGGGCCCAGACCAACACAAATGACACTTGTCCCTTTTGTCCAACTCTTAAATGACGGACCTGACTGGGGAGGAAGAAGAGGAGAAACTGATGTGAACAGGAAGTGCGGGTTCAAGATTTCTAAAACTCTATATTTATACAGTGTCATATACTCATGCCATGTACATTTTTATTATATAGGTAATGTGTGTATAGAAAGTCTGTACTGAAATGTTCGTAAATGAAAGTATGTATATAATGCAGGAACACTCTGTCCCCCACTTATCTTGTAGTTCTTTTGGGGGATACAGATTGTAGGGAAGATACTGTTTAGTTTGGCCTTGAAATTATATCCTTGCCTAGGGCTGTTTTCAAATACATGTAGGAAGCTGCTGTTGCTCTAAGGCCATCCTGCTTTCTTTTGGCTTAGCCTCTAATCCATTTCCTTAAGGCTCATGTATGCAGATTTGAAGCCTGGTGCTCACCTGCTGTCCAACCAGCTGCCTTGCTTATTGAGAGCCTCCAGAACCCTCAGTATTGTTCTAGCCACTCCACTTCAAATGGATAAAATAAGACTGATTGAGAAGAAAAATGTAACCCTAATAATTTGACTTTTCATTGAGTATTTTACTGTTAATGTTCATTATACATAGACATTAGATTTACAGAATATTCTGCTTTACATCAGTAAAATTCACAGTCCAGGAGTAACAGTATAACCAGATCCCATTTCCCCTACAAGTCTACCCTACTTCCTGGATAGAATGAGCATAACTCAAGTTTTTCCTGGGCCAGTCATCCCTTGCTACCACTGGCTTGGCTTCTAAACAAGCTCTGACAGGTCAATCTTGTGAAGTCTTCATCTTTTCTCATTCATTCTGATCTAATCTAGCTAACCCCCTCCCCCTGAGGTTAAGGCAGTTGGTTTACAACCAAGTTGTTTGGTGACCTTGGGTGAGTTCCAGATAGGCACTGGGGTAAAGTAATCTGTGCAAAATTACTTGCAGAATGACCTTGGGATGCTGCGTTTTAATTTTTGAAGCAAGAAAGCTATGCAGACATGTATATTTCTTTCCCTGGGAAAAGTGATCAATGTGATATGAAGAAGGGAGGTGGGATTTCAGGGTTATAGATCATCTGTGCTCTGGATATCTATGTGGAACTAGATCATTTTCCACCTTTGCTAATTGAGCACGTCTGGCTTTTAGGTTTTATACATAAGAAGGCTGTGACACTATTGGACCTTTGACTTTTTTTCCCCCTATCCTTTTGTCTTTCTTCCTATAGGAAATGGCTTTAGCTCCCTCCTTTTTTGAAATTAAATTTAAAAAACTCACTCCAGGGCAAAGACATTATATTACTAACAACTGAATTGTTCCTGGGATTGGAAATGCATATTGATACTGACAGTCCCTATCAGGGTGGCAAAAACTTTTCTATTTAGATGCAACTAAACCCTCTGCTCTCTGTTTTTGTTAACTGGTTTCCTTCTTTGTCTTTCATCCTTGCCTGTTAGCTCATAGAAGAATACTTTCTCTTTTCCCCTTGCCTTACTTGCCCAATTTTATTGACTAGAATCAATTCAAGTAGCTGGATTTCCTAGGATCTCCTTGGCATCTTGTAGGAGTGGCTTGAGTACTCAACTCTTTAGAGGTCAGGTGGCTTACTTTCTTTGGTCAGTGAAATATTAGTGTCTCCATTTGGTACTGCCATAAACAGGAAAAGTGGACAAATAGAAGACTGGTTTCTTAGTTCTTTTCACTTGGGGGGTTCATTTTTTAATCTTGTAGTTTTTTTGTTTGTTTGTTTTTTGTGTTTTGAGACAGGGTCTTGTTAAGTAGTGCAGGCTGGTCTTGAACTCGCTATGTAGCCCAGGCTGGCTTCAACATATGATCCTCCTGCCTCAGCCTCCTGAGTGCTAGGGTTATAGGCATGTGCCAACACATCCAGCGATCTTAAGATTTTTCTCTTTCTTCAACTTTTTGGTAGCCTTGGGCTCCCTATAGTATCTTTCAATGTCCTCTGAAAATTTAGAAACTGGAAAGGATACAAAGGATATTATTTCTTGGTTTGAGGCCCTGCCCTGCTCTATCCAAAGCAAAATTACAGACATTTCAAATTGCCTGAAGAGGAAAATTTATGTATATATTATTTTCCAAAAGTCTTTGAACCCAAAGGAGTAGAGAAAGAAAAACGGAGGAATGAGTAGGAAGCTTATCTGCATCCTGGTGAAAGATCCTGAATAGCCAACCGTAGACTAAGGGTAAGTGTTCTGCAGAGCTGTACATGGGAGCTGGGGCCTCGTCACTGTTCTTTACCTTGTTCAGGAACAGACAGAAGTAATACTTAAGTTGTGGCCGCCCCTGTTTTCCCTTCTCCCTCTGCCTGACCTACAGTGGTATTAACCACACAGACCATAAGCAAGGGTCCCCGATGCAGTGGGTAGAAAATTTTCAGGAGTAAAATTTTAAAATAGAGCTATATAATACATATTTTTACAAGCAAGAAGTTGTCATCAAGATTTTTTTTTTTACTTAAGAGTTTATAGTTTCAGGGTAGAAAGGAAGTAACCGTAAAAAGAAAATAAGTCCAAGTTTTCGCTTAAAAAAAAAAAATAGGACATGAGACTTACTAATGAATGGGTTGAGTATTAGGCCCTGGAAAAGACTGAGGAAAAGCCAGTTTTCCCTAACATGAGTAGAAATTATAAAGCAGAATGGTGCCATTTTCATTTCATGGTAGTAATTCTAGAAGTTTATTTACACTTAAAGTTCTGAGTTGGAAGTGGACAGTCTCCAGTCTTCCTTTCAGTCTTTATAGTTGTGAGGTGTTCCCAATCAGCCAAAGCAGCACCAAGTGCAGTGGGAATGAAGAGAACCCAGATAAAAAACCGTAACTTAATATTCTTGTTTTATTGGTTTATGGCTTATGGGCAGCTAGCTAAGGCCAGCAACTCCAGAGGCCCTCCTTGTATTTCCTTCTCCTTTATCAGGCAATTCCATACTTGCCAAGTCCCCTACCTGGAAGTAGTATGTAGACCAGATAGGATTAGGATGCAGCAGGTAAACTGGGAAAAATTAGCTCTTCCCACTAACACTGGTATCACAGCCTACTGTGTAGACCTGATAGAGAGGAAATGAACTTGGCCACCACTCCCTAGCCCAAGAACCAGCCTGGGTACCATATACATTAGGAGTGGGATACAGAGGACAATTTGGGAGAAGAGAACAGCCTCCAACAAGAATGGGGGAGGAAATAAGCCCTGAGGCTGCTATCTTTTCTCCAGGTAGCCTTCCTACTGAAGGCAGTGACAGCCAGAAAGCCCTGTGTTTCTGACATTCTCAAAATAATACTAGCCAGTGTTTAATGCCTTAGCCAAATAAATGGAGGAGCCAGCAGAGATGGTAAGAAAGTAATGAAACCACTCAGTATTATGTAAAGATCTTACCAGTTATAGCAGAACAGGAAGAAATCTAGGCAGAAGTATAAGGCATCAACCCTATACCTGTTGAATGAATCTACAGGATTCTCCTTGCAGGGGTTAGGTAGGAGAGGTCTCATCTCTATTCCTTTTAGCACCTTGGCTGCAGAGCTCCAGAGAAATAGGGGTTTGGAGGAAGGAGTGAACAATGACCAAGGAGATAGCGCCCAGCCCTGCTATATTCCGATTGCTCTCCCATAGGGCACCTAGGGCCTTGGGGGTTGGGATGTTCCAGTGCCACCTATCATATATAGAAGAAAGGGTTCAAGTAGAGACAAGTAGAATTAATAAGACAGAAATTCATTTGTTAAGTGGAACTTCATGGGCACCTTTCTTTCAGATGAGCTTTAAAATGAGCTCTTTGGCTAAATAACCCCTTCTTCCCATCTCACTTTTGGTAAGCCTGCCACCATAGAAACATTAGGAAATGACACCTATTTTATAAGATCTCCATCTGCCTTGGAGATGAGGTCTAAAACTGGGACAGGTGAGTGGCCGTTTCTGTTTTTCGTATCATCTTTAATCCCAACTCCCTGTCTTGGTACTGTCTCCTCTAACTGCCCCATGTGTACAAAAGATTTGAATTGCTTTTTGTATTTTCTTTCTTTTTTTGGTACCAGGGATCAAACTCGGGTCCTTGCGCTTGTGAGGCAGGTGGTGGAACCACTGAGCTAAACCCCCGGGCCATTCAAATTGCTTTTTGTTTCATTCAAGAGGCAGTCTTTGCACCAGTGTTAGGCTTGCTTACACAGTCCCTATCTCTGAAGCAAATAGCAAACTATGTATTGTATCCTGCTGACTTTGGCCAGCAGGAACATGAGGTTGGCTTTTTCTCTGCCAGGATACCACAGAGACACACACTGGGGTAGCCTGGGTGTGATGCCAGGACTTCTGGAAGTAAGGAAAGAATACTTTGGGCTAGAGAATCTAAATGGATGGTGGGCAAAAGTTCAGGGCTGAAGGTTCAAGAAGTAGAATTTCCAACTCAAGTTTGGAGTGACCAAGAGTATTCCTACCACCAGAGTGCTTCTTTCTTTCCTCTCCTATTGCCTATAGGTGCAAGCCCAGTGACCCACCTTGTTGGCTTTTCCTTTTCTGTCAAGGCAGAGGCATTTTGTGGGTGGGTGAGGGTCCTGAGGTGCTCTGGCCTCAGGTACCATTCGTGTCTTCAACTTGAGACTAAAGGGAACCACCCAGATGTGGTCCAAGGGAATCTCTGTTTTCCACCCATGGGCCTCTTCACTTCAGCAGGGAGATGTCATCTGCAAAGTCATCATGCTGATGGCGGAGGCAGCGGAGGCAGCGCCACTGACACACCATGAGGCAGAGTGGCAGCATGAAGAGGGCGCAGATGGCAGCCATGACATAGGCTATGGTCATGAGGGTCGATTCGTCTGTCTGTGGAATGTTGTAGCCACAGTCTTCCATGTCTAGGGTGACGAAAGGGCCTTCCACTGCTGCTGTCCTGAACTCATCGTGCACTGGGAAAAGGGCGGATGTGAATGGACAGCTCTTACTGTCATAGAGCAGTTTGAGTTACACAACAAAAAGAACTTCCCAATAGTGACACCTTGAAGTCAGGCTCTGTGAAAGTTGTTTAGTCCTCATGGAGATATTTAGGAGCAGGCAGGAAAGCCAGTGCTGGGCAAAGGCCTGTCTCCCCTCTCATAGCCCTAGGAGCAGCACCCTTCCCTGTTTACATATCTAGTGGAAATGAAACCCCTGTCACCTTTCTGCAGGAGCATTTACTGTACATTAGTGCATTTGACAGGCAGCCTGAAGGTTCAGACCACTGCCCTTCTATTCAGGGCTTCCTAAGGGGCCCAGGCAGCTCTTGCTGCAGTGGGTTCCCAGTAGAGCATTCCAATCCAGGCACGGGTCATCAGGGCGGGCAATACCATAAATAAAATAAAATAAATAAATAAATGATGAACACTGACACCAGCCTTTGCACTGTGCTGACTTTAGCTTGAGGCCACTGTCACTGTCCCCCAAACTGACAGGAGCCCATTAGCCTAACTGCTGAGAGTGGGAATATGGAGTGAACCATCCCCTCCTTCCCATACTCTTACCATGGCAAGCACTGACAGCAAAGCCAATTCGTTTTCGGGCCCGATCAAAGACTACGTAGAAGCCCTCCATGATAACAGCTCCCATAACTGTGCCAGTGGATGACTGCGAGATGGCGAACTTGTAGCAGTCATCTTGGGATGTGGCCACATCTTCCACAGGCCGCAGGTATTGCTAAGGGTAAACAATTACAGGTTGACAGGGTGTCTTCCTTGCTCCATGCTTCACCACATCTCTGCCCTCTAGGTATGGTTGCACTTAGGTAGCTCTTCCCTTTGCCATTCCTGAGCCCCAAGAGGTTGGGCATTCCAAGACCTCTTTACCATTGGGCACTCATCTATCTGTCTTCCAAGATCTGGGAAGCCATGCCTCCTCACTGTCTTCTAATTTATATTTTGTCCTCTTCCTGGGATCCCTTTGCCTATGCTTGGGGACATACCTGTGGAAGGATGGTGATACGGAAGGACTGATTGGTGACCTCACCCATGAGGTAGAGCGAGATGACTGGGAAAATGTTCCAAGGTGTGGTGCCTGCTTGCCAGCACACCAGCTGCTCCCCTAGCCAAAAACCATCTGGGAACTTCTCTGTCTGTGTTGACAAGAAAAAGATAATAATGAGGAATTGGCCTCCTCCATCATGCTTTTCTATTTTCATAAACATTGGCCCCTATACTTGCCTCTCTGGGGAAATATCCAAAGCAGGGGAAGGTAAACTACAACCAAGGATTAGGGGTTGAGAGTAGAAGACTGAGGGCAAAAATTTTTACCAGAGGCATTGTGTGATAAGCAAACTGAGAGCCATACAGGAGACCAATTTTTTAAGCGCTCTTAAGTGAAAATATCTAAATGTAGTCATCTTGGCTCTTGCTGAGGGATATGATTGTCACTGACTTGTGATACCATGTCATCTCTTGTACCCTGTCCTTAGTGCACTGACCGAGGAGGCTGCCTTGATGGATTTGACTGCAGCCTCAAATACTTTCTTGGGAAGACGAAGGTTGGTGGTGCCACTGTCCACGATGCTCTTGTCATAGTTGTACTAAGAAGGAGAGGAAAGGGTTAGAAGAGCTTTTTTGATGCCAGCCTATGGGCAGAGATAGAAGGGTACATTTGACTGCTTAGGGTACTGTCAGGCTGGCATCCTGGTTTTGCCTCCTTGTGTATGTACCTCCTTTGGCAAGTTAATGAACCTCTGTGCCTCAGTTTCCTTGTCTAAAAATGAGGATAATAGTATCTACCTCAAAAAATATTATAAGGATTAAATAATACATTGAGTTAACACTTAGAATGATGTGTCGCAAATAAAGGCACTTTAGTAAATGTTAGCTCTTGGGTGGGCAGAAATTCTCCAAATCTTAAAATAAAAAATACCTTGAATAGTGCTTTTAACTTCAAATAGTACTTTTACATCTGTTCGGATTTAGCGTACACAAGAATCAAGGGAAGGAGGCCCAAATTGTTAAGCCAGTATTTGTTGGGTACTGCTAACCACAGGGATAAACACTTTGTTGTCTCTGACCTTTTATACAATGTTTGGGAAATTTGTTTTTACCTCTGTTTGTAGACAGGAAACTGAATCACAGAATAACAAACCTGAGGCATACAGCTAGTAAATGGTCTTTGTGACTCCAAAGCAGGACTCTTTGTAGTACATCCTGTCACACTGCCTTGCAAACAACTTGCCCAAGTCTGTGAAGCAAGGCAGTGACTAAAGTCCAGACAAGAACTAGTTCCATGCTTTTTTTTTTTTTTTCCATTCACTTTACTATATAAGCCCATGGTCCCTGTGAAAGTGCTCTGCCAGTTCCTGGCTCCTAACCTCAGGTCCTGCTCTGTGACCCTTAAGCTGACCCCAGCCCCCACCCCCTCCACAGTCCTATACTGTACTTCAGCCTCATCCTCCCAATCTCACAATGTGAGATCTCCCCTCATACTGTGGTACCTACCCCCTCTTTTCTCCTTGGCTCCCCCTTGGTTTTATTACCTCCTTGCAGTCCATCTTCAGATCTTGTCCATTGATCTCCACCCGCACAATGATCACCTCATAATACCACTCCCGCCGGATGGGTGTGTACCAGAGACTGCCTGTATATAGTGAGTGGTCGATACCCCCAATGATCTAAAAGAAGGAAATAGGCACCCATGTGCCAGCAAGAGAGCAAGTCACAAAGAAAGTAAGATCAGTCACATCTTGGGGTGGCAAGGCCCTCTACGTATAACCTTTTTCATCTTCTTGCTTCTAGTCAATCACATCCCAAAGTGATTTATTGTCTCAAAGTGTGTTCAGGAGAAAAGACTTGCTAGGATCCTAATTATTTGTTTCAGAATCACATAGCCCTTGATATAAAGTTATTTAAACCTAAGCTGGCAAATAAATGTTGAACAAATTAATTATTGCTTCTAAGTTTTATTGTCTTTGCTTGGAGAACCATTCTTCATTGTCCTAATTAATAAATAAATAGACTTAAACTCTTGACATCTTTGCCTTCTGATTATTAGACTGAATAATCTTAATTCAACAGGTTTTATTCTCATTTCCTTTGAAATGGTTCCTACTCATTTCTGATCCTTTGCAAGGTTACCATAGATCCCTTGAGTCCTGTTAAGGAATAACATAAGGAAGAGAAGAATGGAAAAGTAAAGTAGGAATGGGGAATATAAAGAAGTTTCTCTTGATTTGAAGTAGTACAGCTAAGACCATGTTGCCCTAAGGGGGTGGATTGGGTAAATGGCACCCATGTCACTCCTAGTCCCCGGTCCTCTACTCTCTAAAGCTCTACCTACCATGCTCCCTCCAACAGAGGCCACGGCCTCAGACTGGTTGAGGGGGAAGCCTGCACCACAGAGCTGCAGGGAGAAGAGATTTGGAACATGGGTCTGCTTCACCAAGGAGTCAAAGAAGGGCTCCAGCGAGTCGTCAGGCTGTGGCAGAAAGAGACAAGGAGTAAATCTTCACAAGGAGTGTCCTGCTGGACAGATGCTAGATTTTTACTTACACTGGAAGGAAAAAAGCAAAAACTTGAGGATATTCTTTAGGAATCACCATCTTGAGTTACTAAATTCTGACAGAGGGTTAGCAAGAGACAGTGGCCATGTAAAGGGAAGTATGGCCCACAGAGTCATAGGAGCTTTTTATTCCCATATGCCCAACCTGCTTCAGGTTTGTGAGAGCGCCTCAAACATTTTAGGACACATACCAAAACAAAACAAAAAGAAATAATTTAAGCTGGGTGTGGTAATGCACACCTGTTAGCCCAGCACTCTGGAGGCTGAAGCAGGAGGATTACTGTGAGTTGGAGGCCAGTCTACATAGTTTAAGCCCAGTCTCAACTCATAGCACTATACTGTCTAAAAACAAAATAACCAAAAGATCTTAGGGTGCACAGAAACTGCAGCCTTTTCCTTACCTATCATAGCTGCTCTCACTATAGTTCTGCCTTCTGAAGGGCTAAAGTTCAGATTACCAACTTGCCCCTGAATATGAATAACCCATCAAAGTGATGTTTCCCTCCTTTAGCCCGATCTCTCCTCCCCTTAACTCCTTCCCTGTGTAGCATGCAGTGTGCAACGTGCAATGTGTATAGGGCAGTCCTTGTTCCTCTCACCCTGGCGATCTCAGCATAGGCCAGCCCCAGGATTCCCTCCCAGTTGGAGCCATTGATGAAGAACTTGTCTGATTCAGTGATGGCAGCGATGTTCGCACGTACAGTGACGTTGGGACCATGAGGAATGCTCACCAGGTCAGTGCCCAGCTCCCCCTCCCACTTGCCCTGGGTATAGGGCACATACACGCCCTTCCGGAGGTCCCGGTATGTGCTGGACCTGTGGAAAGGAGGCAGAGTTCTGGATGCATAAACATGACAGCTGGTATGGAGACCCATCATCAAACATACTCCCAAATGCCACCTAGCTAAGGGGCATCCTAAAAGTCTGCTTTCAGGCTGCTCTGGAGAACATACCTTAGGCCTACTGCCCAGAACAGAATGTAATGGGACCTTACAGACGAAGGGGCTCACTGGGGCTCACCCATCTGCAGAGCTCGCATTCCTAGCTCAGGCCCGTGAAGAACAAGCTAGGCTTTGTGCATTGTGCTTGCTGCTTCTGTGGGGACAGCTAGCCAGCATCTCTTCCTTTGCCTGTGTTCCAACAAGCTCCCAGAGAAAAGGAGCCATTGACTAGCTGCCTTGGGACCTGGTGGTACCATCTGAGTGGTGGAGAAGGTTCCAGGCAGGGTGAATATGGAAGCTCTGCAGCAAGTTTTTCTAGAGAAGAGATTTGCATAAGCATCTCAGTAGAGCAGGTGGGTAGTGCATACCATTTGGCAAAGCACAGTCATCAAAGTGCTGGTGCCCATTTCTGTTTATCGTGCCACTAACCAAGGTTTAACAGAAGCAGTGATAGAACTGGGACAGACTGTGAATGAATGCTCTTACACTGATCCTGCCCGCACCCCACTTTCTGTTTCTTTAGAATGGATGCTGATGGGATTGGGGTGGGGTGGGGAGAGTAAAGAAGTCAGGAAAGGGGGTTGGGTTTGTAACTGCCTAACAGTCCGAAGTTAGGATACAACTACTCACACACACAGACAACTCGGGTATTAGATGGCTTCTCACCACTTCCTCATCCTGCTGTTATGCAAAGAGGGCTTCCAGATCACCCCTCAGTAGTTCTCATCTAAAAACTCAGTCCAACTCTTCTTTCACCAATAAGCTAAACCCAGCTGGTGGCACTTGGACTAATGCAGGGAAGACACTTTAGCTTTCAATCCCTGATAATGGATCTAGGCAATGGGGGTTATAGAAGTTTCCTTCTTGTCCTTGGACCGTGGAAAGCCACCTGGAGTGGCCCCAGGGTAAGAACACAGCAAAAGAGCTATGGATTCAGCCTGTTGGCCTACCCTTAGCTGCTATTAGAAAACAGCAAGCACTGAGGGCATGTTGATGAAGTCCCCTCGCTTCCCTATTTAGGTAGCAAATGAGCCATGGAGATAGCACTGGGAGCCAGAGGCTTCATCCCTTTCATGGAGGCTGTGCTTCAATTTACCCTTTACCATAGTATGGCTCTCAAATACCTCCTCTTCACCTTCCTTTCCTGGCTACTCTCTCCTTTTCTCTTTCCTTTCCGCATGGGAGAAAGGACCTGGACATGAGGACCAGGCCTTTCTCCTCCCTGTGCCCTTCCCAGCTCTCCTTGGATTGGCACTCCCCTGGGCCCTCTCAGGACTCACCGCTGCCTTTGGTAGTAGCGATGCAGGAAAGGGTGGGGGGCAGCCCCCACTGCAAAGTTACTGCTGCCTGTGTCCACGAGGATGTTGAGCTGTCAAGAAAGAGCAGAGAAAGAAGACTTGGCGGTTAGCTCTGCACTAGCAGCCTAGGGTCCTTCACCCCATAGCCAGTCTCCCATTGGAATGTCCAGTGGCGGTTTCCATGACATGACCAGCCAGGTTGACACTTGCTAATGCCATAACCACAGACAGAATTTGGAGTCCTGTGGTACTCTCCACACTGTAATAGCACTGCAAAATGGAGCTTTAAAAGTTAGGTTTTTGGGCTGGGGATTTAGCTCAGTGGTTCCAGTGCCTCCCTTGCAAGCACAAGGACCTGAGTTCAATTCCCAGTGCCAAAAAAAAAAAAAAAGTTGGATTTTTTTTCCTTTGGAGTCAAGTGGCTTCCAAACTTCCTTAGGCCTGACAAACCCCCACACACCTCTCACTCCCCACCCCCAGAGGAATAGACAAAATATGCACATCTATACCAGGAAGTAATGCTCAATTTCATTTCCTTAGGCAAGGGAGAGAGCAGTCTGGGTCCAAGGGAGGGAGAGGAAAGGATGGAACTAGCCTGAAAATGTCTATTGTTACATTGTATTCCTTCACTCACTGTTCCCTGTTATAGAAGACCTAATATACCTACCTATATATGGTGAGATGGTAGTTTGAAGCAATTAGCAATCTGGGAGCTAGATTTGAATAAATCTTTTCTCCTTTCTACCCAAATATATGGTCTCCTTTGATTTGGTCAGCATCAAGTGGATGAACCTGAACATAGAACCTACGTGGCCAGTAACAACATGGCCTCAGAGACTCTTTCTGTTTGAAAATCCTAACACTTTTTATGACATCAGAGCTCTGTGTGTATGTGTGTGTGATGTGGTCACTATTCCCATTTCTCTCTACCATCAGATGGCTTTTCTCTTTGTGCACCAAACCAATTGTCTTCAGAGCCAGCCCCTTCCCCTCCTTTTCTTTTTCTCCCTGGAAGGACTAGAGTATCCTCCTGCAGGTGAGAGAAGAGTTGTTCTAGGAGCTGACAGTGGCGAGGGGAACATCAGTGACCATGTATGTGTATGTTTGTCCTCTGTCCACCAGAATGTGGCTCCCCTTTTGTCTCAGAGTTACATATACCTATGTGTCTTTCTGTCAGAAATAATGAGGAGGCAGGAGTCCTATTATATCCTGGTGAAACCCAATTGTCAGGTGTCGCGAGCATCGATTTGAGAATCGGATCCCAAGCTGGGAGCTCTGAAATGTCTCCCTAGCTCCGAGGTAATGAAAGCTACAAGTGATGTCTTTTAAGGAATTTTATTGTCACACAAGCAAAGTAATATCAAAGCAAAAGCAAAGTAATATTAAGGCAAAATACCACAATAGCACTCAAGAGAATGAACAACAATCAAAGGAACATTCCAGTCTACACGATGTAACAGGACCATATCGTGTGGACTGGAATGTTCTCCCGATCGCCAGTGTAACAGGACTATACGACCTGAGTCCGTGGCACGGAGTGCGAGGCTGTCGAGCAGAGGTTCGAGCTGCGACGTGATGTTCGGTCTGGATTCTGGCAGAGCCTCCGGCAGCAATCAGTCAAGTCGCGAGGAGCAGCGACGTGTGACAGTCAGGTCGGGTCGCGGTGGACGACGACGACTGGTCTTGGGTTCGCTGCTTTTATACCCTGACCACTCCTTATCGTTCAGGCCATGTACTCAAGGTGGTCGTAAGGCGGGAGGTGTCCAGCCTTATCTGAGTTAACGCCTTGACACTCTCCATTACCTCACTTCAAACTCTTAGTCATATGTCACAGCAAACTCTTATCTGTCCTGACACTCAGCTCCCAGGCTGTCAGCTGTCAAGCTGTCAGCTGTCAAGCTTCACTCAGTTTCACTCTAGTTTTATTTTGCTTAATTCTACTTTTTGTGGGGTCACAAAGTCCTATGTTTTACATGTTCACTACATCAGGGCCCTGGTTTTGGCTAAGTGACTAGGCATTTTCTCTGTATTCCTTGCTGTATATATAACTCCTTCTAGAATCTCTTCTACCTTGTCCTCCTTCCTTCTCATATAATCCAGGCCCTACAAGGAAGAATCATTGTTCCCCCTTGGGGCTCTGGGTGTATCTTAGTGACACAGCACTTGCCTTGCATGTGTGAAACCCTGGGTTCAAGCCTCCAGCACCAAACCCCACCCCTAAAACCAAAACCCAAACCACAGAATTTCCTTTCTCTTAAGAGGCTTCAGCCATTGCCCCCACCATCAAAATTAAAAAATGAAAGAACATTTTCTTTCTTTTAAAATCCAGGGAAGGGCTGGGGATTTAGGTCAGTGTTTCTGGCGCCTGCCTCTCCGGTCCCAAAAAATAAAATAAACCCACTTGCTTTTAGTTGCTGTTTTGTTTATTGTTTTTGTTCCTTTGGTACTGAGAATTTAACCTAGGGCCTTCATACTGAGCTATGCTCATCCTTTTCCTTTTTTGGTACTGGAGATCGAACTCAGGACCTTTGCTCGTGAGGTAGATGGCAGAATCACTGAGCTAAATCCCTGGACCTCTTTTTCGTATTTTTTTGACACACAGTCTTATTTTATTTTATGGTTTTTTGAGACAGGGTCTCACTATGTAGTTGAGACTGACCTGGAACTCATTATGTAGCCCGGACTGGTCTTGAACTCACAGTGATCCTCCTGCCTCAGCCTCCCAAGTACTGAGATTATAGGCATGCACCACCATGCTCAGCTTGAGACACAGTCTTTTTTTTTTTTTTCTCATTGAGTTTATTGGTACATTTTAGGTATGCAGTACAGTTACATTCATTATTGGGATCTTGTACCTTTACATGACAGGTCTTGATCCTTATTTTTTTCTCCTTGTTCCTGCCCTCCCTTCACTCCCTTCTTCCCTCCCCATTTACAAACATTTTATCTCCAATTTTCATTTTCTCCATTTTTCTTTCCCTTACCCTTTCCACTTTCCCTACACCTTTAGCCCTTTTCTTCCTATTTCACATTGTCATTTATCTCATTAGGATCTTGGTACTATTATAGTTTTTCACACCAGAGAAACTATTTGGTATTTACACATGTGACCTATTTATTTCACTTAGGAGTATAGCTTCAATATGTATCCATTTTCCTATGAATGAATCTAATTTCTCATTCTTAATGGCCGAGTAGTATTCCATTTTATAGAAAAACCACATCTTCTTTATCCAGTTTCCAACTGATGGGCAAATGGGCTGTTTCCAAGTTTTAGCTATTACAACCTGTGCCGCTGTAAACATAGGTGTGCATATATCACTGTGATATGATTCTTTTAGTTCTTTTGGAAAGATACCCAGCAGAGGGATGGCTGGGTCAAATGGAACCTCTAGTCCTTGCTCTTTGAGGTATTTTCATATTGATTTCCATAGTGGTTGCACTAGTGTGCACTCCCACCAACAATGGAGAAGGGTTCCTTTCTCCCCACAACCCCGCCAACATTTGTGATTGAGTAATTTCTTGATAGCAGCCATTCTTTGTGGGGTGAGGTAGAATCTCAGTGTTGTTTTCATCTGCATCTCTAGAATGACCAGTGATGTGGAGCATTTTTTAATATATTTACTTGCTGCTTTTACTTCTTTGTCTGAGAAATGTCTGTTCATTTCAGATGCCCATTTTTGAATTGGGTCCTTATATTTGGGGGGGCTGATAGTTTTGAGTTCTTTATATATTCTAGATAATAGTCCTTTATCTGAGGAGCAGCTGGTAAAAAATTTTTCCCACATTGTAGGTTGTTTCTTAGTTCTGTTGATGGTTTCTTTTGCAGTGTGGAAGCTTTTTAATAAGATGAGATCCCAGTTGTTGATTCTTTCTGCTAGTTTCTGTGCTACTGAGGATTTGTTCATAAAGCCATTTCCTATGCCAGTGTCTTCAAGAGTTCTGCCTAACTTATCTTCCAGAAAGTTTAGTGTTTCTGTTTTAATATTTAGATCTTTAATCCACTTGGATTTTAATTTAGTTCGTGGTGAAAGATAAGGTTCTAGTTTTAATCTTTGGCAGGTTGAGATCCAGTTTTTCCAACACCATTTATTAAAGAGGCTATCTTTCCTCCAGTGGAGATAGTCAGCTCCTTTGTCAAAGATGATGTAGCTAAGTGTATCTGGAGTTGTTTTTGTGTCTTCCAATCTGTTCCACTGATCCTCAGGTCTGTTTTTTTTCCAGTACCATGCTGTTTTTATCACAGTGGCTTTGTGGTATAGTTTCACAATGGGAATTGTTATACCCGCTGCCATGTCTCTGTTGACTAGGATGGCTTTTGCTATTCTAGGTGTCTTCTGGTTCCAAATGAATTTTTGGATTCTTTTTTCTAGTTCTGTGAAATATAGTGTTGGAATTTCGATTGGTATTGCATTGAATCTGCATAGTAGAGTGGCCTTCCCAAATCCGAGACACAGTCTTAATAAGTCACTAGGTGCTAAGAATGGGCTTAAACTTAATAGTCCTCTTGCCCCAGCCTCCTAGAGTCCTGGGATTACAGGTGTGCATCAACCACATCTTTATCTACTTTTTTTTTGGTACCAGGATGGAACTCAGGACCTTGCGCTTATGAGGCAGGCAGCGGAACCATTGAGCTAAATTCCAAGCCCACCTTTATCTACTTTTATCACTGATTTGAGAAGTCATTAACTGAACAATAATGTAATAGGGCCTTGCTAATTTTCCTAGAGATAACACCTCTGACATATGGTCAGCCATCTTCATATGTATTTTTTTTTAAAGGGACTTGGAGATAGCCTTGTATGGCTCAAGGTGGATGAAACCACCAACTCACTTGGGCCTTCACAAATATACAATAGGTGACCTTTTGCATTAGAGGCCAAAAACTTCATCCATGGATCTTACTAATGCTGCCATTTTCTGAACATGCCTTCTATAAAGATCCATGAAGTTTGACTACACACATGGAAATCACTGATTACTTCCTCTTTTCCTGCTTCCAATCACCTTTTCTCATGATTTGTGTTAGCTTTCCACAGCTGTAAGAAAATACCTGAGAAAACCAGCTTAA